ATAGCCGACAACAGTACTACGGAGATAGATAAGAGTGACATTTAAATTTGATAAATGGGAAAATATGTACAAATATTTTATGAACGGTACGATCTCTGGTTATCAGGGTTTCTTTTATAGATTATCTACATGTCAATCATCCTATAACATCTGATTTTCCTATTAAAACAGGTCATCCGGTCTAAATTTGCACCCTTTCTTTTCCATAAATAAAATAAAATAAATCGGATTAAAAATCGACGGAATTCAAAAATTCAATTTTTGTATACACCTATTATAAGTGTAAAAGAAGAAAATTTGGAAGTTTCAAAAATATTTTAAAAATAAAAATCATTATCCAATACTTATTCCATTTTTTTTATAAGGATTGAAATCAAAACTTAAAAAACTACACGAGAGGCATAAACTACACTGAAGATTTGAACATGAGTCAATAGACACTTACGGCACACTATATGCTTTATTTGAATAATATTGATATATATATATATATATATATATATATATATATATATATATATATATATATATATATATATATATAAAATTCGGCAGCCAAAAAATAAATATGTAAAGTTGGTGTGTAATCAAAATCAACCCAGGAAAAAATAAGATATATATATAGGAAATTACATGAGACGGCAATTTCTTATTTCTTTATGTTTACTATGATATCATTTAACGAATTGTTCTTTTGTCTTTACTAGAAGAATTCAAGTTTAAGCATCATCGTAAATTTTATATTATTTTCAGTCAAGACATTGAATAAATCTTCGTCCACTTATGAAATTAATCTTGAATTAATGTTCCTTGCGAAACCCCAGTCCTTCTACCTAGTATCTGCAATTTTCTGTCGTATTAAATTTCCCTTTATTTATTTTGTAAGAATTCACATTATTTTTCTTTGCACCAAATTCATTTTGCAGTCGATTATTCACGGTTTTTTTTTTCTTTTCTAATTTCGTGTGAAAATTATAAAATCTATAGACTAAGTGAAGACCAACATTAAGGTTGTTCAAACTTTCCTCTCAAACTTATCATATATAAAATTTATTTTTCTTGCTTCAGTTTTCTTTTCTATGGTGTTGAGAAGACCCTCCGTTAGGTGGTCGGACAAGATTCGAGAACATTAGACCTAATCTTCTTCTTTTATAATAGGATAAATTACGTGTAACCACTCACGTATGATCAAATTACGAAGAACCTCTCTTGTTTGGATAAACCCCGTATGAATCTTCTTACACCTCCACGTTTATGGTGTCAAATTCAACATAATCATCTAGATTCCATGGAATGTGCTCTAATTTGTACTATTTTTGCGTAAAAATACAGTTTATGATGCACCACAATCTGATATATATACAAGCCAAAAAATACATCTTATGATAATCTTGTTTCAAAATGTGGAGCTTAAATGAGATAAAACAGGTACAAAAGTGATTTTTTTTTTTTTTTTTTGATAGAACAGGTACAAAAGTGATAATATTCCATATAATCAAGAAGATTCCACTAAATTTGAAACCACAAAGGTGGACGTGTGAGAAAATTTATAGTTGACAGAATTGTTGTAATTACCCTAACAAAGAGGGGAATTTTCGGAATTTTACCATACCTCAGGATAGTTGTAATTTACCCTTTATTATAATATGTAGTATTGTCTTATATATTTTGTTATTGCAATAATCTTTGACAATATATAATTGCTAATTGCGTGTCTAATCAAACATTATCCTCGTTCCCATAACTCCATCTGTAAACGAAAATATCAACTTCCTTTGCGCTTTTAATATTTATATATTCTATCTTTTAACTCGTTTTCTTCCCACACGAAAAGAAGGTTTTGTAGACGATATACTCAGTCAAATACACCACGTGTATGTGTGCTTAACGATCTACAATTTAAAATCACCCGAACTACTACCAGAGGGGCTCCTTCGACCCTACATCCGGTGATAAATACCGGGTGGGTCTTCCACTGCCACGTGTTTTTTTTTTTTTTTTAATTTTTCTAAAATCCCTAAAAGTAAACCTTAGTGGGAGAATATATTATAAAATACAAAAAATGACACATGACAGCAGAACACCCACCCGGTATTTATCACCGGGTGTAGGGTCGTAGAAGTCTTATGAGAGGTCTCCAAAGTGGGCTCGGCTAGCCTGCACCATTTCCTTTTTCTCTTTTGGGATAATTGCAAAAAAAGGTACATTATGTAAAGTTGGCCTAAAATCCCCATGTGCTATGTTTATTGCAAAAATTCTGGTTATTATAATGCCAATAGTAAACACAATATTTTACAAAAAAAAAAGGTAAAACAAGAAAAACTAACATAAAAATCTATGAAGATATTTAATTAAATTTATTTTTTTTATAAAAATCAACAAAAGGAATAGATAAAAATCAGAATGGAATGTATGCAAGTTAACAAAAATAAAAACCAATACAAAAATCACATGTCTGTGATATATAATTTTTTTCAAGCATAAGGTTAAAACAACAGAAATATATAACACCATTTGGGAAGATCGTCGAAGATTTGTGTGTGGGATTTTTGGCAATAAACATAAAAGATAGGAATTTTCGACCCTACTTTCAGTACCACACGAGATTTCTTTTTCTTTTTTGCCCAATTAGACTGTCTTTCCTGAGACACTACCCACAAACAATAACAATATCATGACCCCTAAAAAGAAAACAAGTGGTCACCATTACAAAAACCAAATGCTTCAATCTCACTCTTTCCCCACCTGCAAAAGAAGCCTTACTTATTATGTTCCTGTGGTCACTACTTCTCCTTTGCTTATCATGTACCCTCACTTTAGGCAAATCCCAGGTGATTGTTTGGAACTAAACTAAGCAAAGGACCACCTGTTCTGTAACATTGCTAAGGACCATCTCCTATTTCTTCAAACTTACGCATTTTACGCAGGCAGCTTAAACTAAATTATCACACTGTATAACCTTGTTGGTAATTCAATTACACGGTTCAAAATCTATATTCGATGATGATACATCAGAAAGTGATACAAAGATGATGGATAAATCTTACCAAGAAGCAAAATCTTGAAGTTCTTTACTTGACAATCCCTTTCTTTTCTTTGGTGCGGGCCCAGCTGGAGGAGCGTCACTGCCGAGAGTGGCGGAGGGTGCAGCTGGAGCAATCGTTGCTTTCAAGTATTTACCGACGGCAACGCTGCCGCCACCCCCGGCAAGATCATCTTCCGACCCCTTCACTGGATTGCTGTACCATGAACCGATCTTATCCTGGAAAAAGTAACGCCAATTTTTTTATTTTTTTTTAAATTCATGTTAAATAGAATAAAGAAGGTACGTATAACTTCCATGGCAGAGAAAATCATGGGACTCCTAAATGATAATAGCAATATCAAGAATCTGAAACTAACATTGTCTTCGTCCTCGACAATTTTGTCCTCATTGGCCTTCTTTTCTTCCTCTTCGTCTTCTTCAGCATACGGATTAACGTAAACTTCTACACTAATAATCTTGATCTCTTCCTAAGCAGGGAAACAGAAAAAAAAAAAATTAAAATAAGTCGAAATTAAAGCCAAGAATTGAGATTCCAAATATATAGCTCGTGATCCTAAAAGTAACTTGGTTGCAATGTCATGCGAAAAACAAAATGCATAAACCTCAGACAAGGTAAACACGTTGTACAAAAGGCAGTCACATCCTGATGACTTAATAAGTAAACAGCCTTATGGCAGTTGAAACAAATAACTGATGCAAGAACTTCGTACAATCTTTATAAGTGCCTCCACAAGAAAAGAGATACCCCCAATCTAAGAAAATTGAAAACACACAAATAAATGGAACTGGAACTGGATAGTTATGTATGTGTTTCATCATTACCAAGCAATTAAGGTAAATAAACAGGCAATAAAAGAGGGATGATGAGAAATAAACATAAGTCGGGTATATTGACGAACCAGAGGTCTGTCGTCGTCATCAACAGGTACTTTCTCCAATGTCGAAAGGGTAGTTAACCCTCCAACAACCATCCCAAAAACCGTGTGTTTGAAATTCAAATGATTTGCAGACTTATACAGGATGAAGAACTGGGAACCATTTGTGTGAGGACCAGAATTCGCCATGCTAACCACACCTCGTCCAGAATGAACTAACTTGGAGTTAAGTTCATCTTTGAAGGACTTTCCCCAAATCGATTCACCTCCTTTTCCTGTCCCAGTAGGATCACCACCTTGAATCATGAAGTTTCTACACATCAAAAACGTCAAAGTCTTGAATTAAAAGGTCGATTCAACAAATTGGAGGAGAGTTCGAGTAATCTGGAGTACCTTATATTTCTGTGAAAAACTACCCCATTGTAATATCCACGTTCACAAAGAGTGATGAAGTTTTCACATGTCCTCGGAGTGATGTCACAATGCAGCTCAATGTTCAAATCCCCATGCGTTGTTTGCAGCCGGACATAGCCCTTCTTCTTTGGATTTTTTTCGACTTTAACATATTCATATTCATTTGTGGTGACAGGATCATAAGAGGTCGAAGTGAATGATCGTGAAGCAGCGCCAGTTGTGAATCGACTTTTAACCTGAACGATTTCAAATGAACATACAATTAATCAATTAAAAGGTCCCTGGAAAACCGGGTCTAGTGACAGTAAATTAAACATGTACTAGAAAGATGGGAACAAAAAAGACCTAGTTGCCCTTCACTGATAATGTAAGGAGATTAAGACCAACTCCATGTAGTCAAAAATGATAAATCATCAAGAAGTATTTCATAAGTATCTTTTCCATGTCCAAAAGCAAGACTCAATCACAGTCAAAAGCACTTTTACAGAGTTACTGATAATTCTATTCTCTTCAATGAAGACTTCGGCTCAATTTGTCTTTCAGATTTCTAAACAATTTACTTGTACGGAACAAAAATGCTTCACCAGAAAAAGAAATAGGGAGAACCCAGACAGAAGCGCCTCTAATAAACCAAATAATGTTTGGACAGGCAATATATTTACAGCTTTGTTTTACTCATATGAATCTTTACTGACTAAAACCAATAATTCGCAAAATTCAGTGTCTTCTAGATACCTTCTATGGCAAAAAAAAAATTAGTCGAAAAAACCAAGAACTAACCATCTTAGAATTTACTGGTGTCCTCTCACCAGCCATGTGCATTGCTATGCGTGCAGCAGTTTTATTGCTAGCATCAGACCTTGCAGCAGCGGCACTTCTTCCATGAACAGCAGCGGATGCGGCATCTACAACGCTGTATGTCTGCTTGGGCGTTTCATCACTCTTCTCATCTTTGATACGTGACCTTGCAGCTAAAATGGATTCAAGAGCCACAGCTCTTTCTGTTTTAGCCTTATTTCCTCCACCACCATGTAATGCAATCTCCTTTGCCTTTTCAGTTCCAAGCTCCTTAAGCATTTGCTTTATATCCCCATTAACATTTATATTGTACGACGGGTCAGATTCCATTTTCTTTAGTTCTGCCATAAAAGAAAACATGAAGTTTTACAATCATATAAATAGAAAGCAGATCCAGTAAATGCCAGAGGAGTAGCTGTTCACCTTCGTCGTCGATTTTTAGGTTTTTCTTCATGTGATCGAAATCCGTGAGAACCTTGCTATCAAGTGCATTAGGATTCTAAAAATTACAAGAAAAATACATTATGAGAGACTTAATTCGGCTGTGCTTCTGAAAATTAACTCGAAGCCTACAACTTCAACACCAACCAGAGATAGTGAAATGAACTTTTACCTGAATGGTTATAATGTCTTGCCTAGTGAATGGTTCATCAGTGAGAAGCTCTTTCCAATTCTTAGTTTTAATGTTCAATTCCTTAATTGCCTGGACAACAACAGTTCTAATCGATGAAATAGGTAAATGGATGGTTTTGAAAGACGTAAAAAGGTAAGAGATGTACCTCGTAACAGAACACATTTCCTGTCGTCTTTACAGCAACTATGTGTGTGAACTCAGTAAAAACCTTATTAAGAACAGGGCAGTGATACTCTCCTACAAAAAGAAATTCGAGTAACAAATCAATTCTGCCAATTTCAGCACTCAATGGGAGATTCATGTATTAATTGTTACAAGAAACGAGTAAAAAATATATAAAGGCCCAGAATTACATGCTTCCGGCCTTCCGCTTTAAGTTTTTCCCCTTTCTTACGCTCTAATAAGTAGCATGAAGCCTATACATTGTGGTCAAGCGCCTTATGCACAAACCAAACCACTATTAAATATTTTGGTCAAGGGCATCATTATTACTATATACCTCGTTTTATTCTTTTCATCTTATCAGTAACATACAGCCACTACCACATTGTAGTTACGGAGAAATAACAATTCACATATATGTAACATTCATGATAAATCGAAACCAAGAGTGATCCAACAATGGCCAATTTACAATTAGGTATATTCTTGTTCATGTAACATTACTATCAAATTCTACTGGAAAAGAGATTGTAGGAGTTCCCAACTTCAGATAAGTATATTTAGACACTGACTAGAATGGCTTTCTCTAGAGTGAATATGAAATGTTTTACCATCTTCGCTGAGGTTTCTAAGTATTCTGTCGAAGAAAATTGTCTCAGTGTAAATTACACTGCTAGCCTGAGAAAGTCTACATGTTTGTCTACATTGGCTACAAAATATAGCTCTTGTATCTGACCATTTCAAAAATAGTTCTATCTGTATCCACTTTCCGACCAAGAAAACTTTATTCAGTCCAGGCTTTCACAAAATGGGTATCATTTCCGTGCCAAAAGGAATAGATATATGGGGGAAAGAGAAAGTGTCGGAGGGCCCAATAAGAGCAAAGCAACTGCAAGAACTGGGATACAGTAATACATAAAGAATATATTTGAATACAAGACACAGGCTATCGCAGGCTATGAATCTAACATATCCGAATTCTAATTGTCAATTAAACTTCTTACTTCATGACACGAAAAAATAAGCATATGACCTTCAGAAACTCAGATACACTTTCTCAAAATCAAAGGGGAAAATTTAAGAATTCACACAGTAACATTGCTGTGTACTTGCTCACGAAGAAGAATCCTTAAATTAACAGTATCTGCTTCGTGATTAGAGCACATTCCCTAATTCTCGGACTAAAATCCTCAAGTCCATCTAAAATAAAGCTCCTATTTTCTCAACTCCAAATTACGAGATCCAAAACTGCTCATGTTCTATTCAAATGCTACACCTCAATGGAAATATTCCGACCCAAGCATACATGAACAGATGCCGGTAGCTAAAACTCCAATTTAAATTAACAAAAGTCCAATACAAAAGGTTATCGGAGCGGGCAGTTACCTTCAGCATTCTTGTGGAAAGAGAGTGGGACCAAATCCTCCTGCTTGAGCGGAGCTCCAGTTACCGGATGCCTCCCATACTTCAAAATGTATGGGGTTATGTTCCTAAATCCCACATTACAAAATCAGTATAAACCTTCACAATTACCAGCAACCAATTTAAAAAAACAAAAATTAAAAAAATTGTCAATAAATACACACATGATGTCAAATACATTGCCGTCGGCAGTGCAAACGGGGACTTCGAACGGCGTAAACGTCAGGCTGCATCAGAAATACAGAATTAATTAATTAATTCATTAATCAAAGTGAACAAAAAAGGAAAATCACACAACGCTGTGAAAGGGGTGAAGTCGAGAGGGTAAATACTTACGCGCAGCAATAGAAGGGGAGGCGTTGAAAGCGGGCGACTTCTTTGGATTTAGCGCCGCCCCACTCGGTGGCCCACTCCGTTTTCGTTAAGAACATCCTGTCTTTGCTATGCTGCTTCTTCCCCATTTCTGCAGTCAGCTAAAAGTTCGATTGAGTACGGATTGGGTTAGGGCTTTGGAGCAATTTGTGCGACTCGCTGAAGAAAAGTGGCGTAGGTTTGAATTTCTAGTGCCGGAAGGCGGTGGCTAATTTTCAGAAGTAGAAGTTTCTGCCGTTGTGACGGTGGTCGTCACTTGTCTGCCCGTATTTTTTATTCGGATCCGGGTTAGAGATCCATTTGACAACCCGGTTCGGGTTCCTCTACTATTTTCAGCAATTAATATTAATAAAAAAAAATGTTATATCTATTCCTAATGAAATTTTTTAATGGGCTTGGGCCTGAAAAGTTCTAACGACATTACTTCTGCAGGCAGTGGCGCAGCCTAGACAATCGCCGCAGTATGGGTGGCGGAAGGAGGAGCGATAATAGTAGCAGTGGGGAGGAAGATGGTGATGCCGAGTGGAGGGCCGCCATAGATTCCGTGACCGCCGTCGCCTCCTCTGTCAAGAACGACTCCAACGGCACCTCGTACTCTTCCAGCCGCCGCTCAACCCATGAAGACGAAGAACACAAACCCCAGATTATGAAACACTATCAAATCAAGGTATCGCTAATTTATCCTGATATGAATATGCTGAGTTTGTATTTCTGCATTATTTTGTTGCTAAGTTTGGTGAATGCCGGCCATGTGTTTGATATTTGGTCTGGTCTAAAGTTCTAAGTTTTTGACTGAGAAGAAAACATAAAAACTCCAACCAAGGATAACATAGGTAAAAAAGAAAATGAGTATGACCTTTGAGGTATGATTGAATAGAATTTTCTGGAATTTCGGATGCTCGTATATCTAGTTGTTGGAGTTGTAAGTATCTTATTCGACATGATGCTCGAGAAAGAATGCAGGTGCAGACACTGTAAACTGCGTTACTATCACCGTTAATTTATATACTCGTATATATATATATATATATATATATATATATATATATATATATATATATATATATATATATATATATATATATACATGCTCTTGATGTCTGGTTGTACAACAAATTGGCAATGACAATCGACAGGCACAAAAAATGCTGGATGACTTAATAGAGAAGAGTATTGAAGTGGTTACAGATAAGTCTCGAATGCTAGAGAAAGATCCTCCAATCAGCGATGCTGGAGTTCGACTCTTCAGAAATGCTCCCTCTGGAATAGTGTTTGATCAAACAAGTGAGAAGATCCGAACTCATATCATTAGTTTCAATAAGATCCTTTATTAGCCGAATACCTAATTACGCCTCTTGCTCAAAATTTTCGCTCGAAAGAGACTATTTTTAAAGAGTCTTGTTTTTGTTTATAAAGTTTGTTTTTTCTGTTTTAGATGAGCTTCATGGACCAAAAACAAGACCAAGAATTGTTCCTGGAGAAGTGTTCGACGAGAAATCGAAAAGGGTACGTATATGTAATTTTGTATATCTTTGTTGTTTGTTGCTAAATGCTAGTGTGATTTATTAATCCTACTTTTTGCTGTGTTTTTGTAGTTCAGAAAGAGACTTAAATCCGTCGCTGTTGACGGTACCCACATAATCGATGTAGCACGAGCCGCAGGGCAAAAGTCGTTAGCCAAAATGGAAGCTAGAGAATCGGCTGCTAAAGCAGCTGCGAAACGAGACGAAGAACGTGTGGCTGAGCTGAAAAAGATTAGGGGAGAAAGATGGCTTCCTTCTATAGCCAGACAAATGAAGTTTAAAACTAGCAAGTGTTGAGCTTTGTTCGTCTTTCTGACTTCACCTTTTGGTCATGGTGGCGCAATTTTTTTCCGCTAATTGCAATTTGCTGCTTCGTTTTATTATGTTTGTAGACGCTCAAATCAGATGATAGTCGTGAACGAAAATTTTGTCGACAAGGTTATGATTTCCAAGAAAATGTATACAAAATGTTTTTAAAAAATTATTATAGAAGATATATAAGGTGTTCTTATATTTTTATATTTCAACAACCTCATTTGAATTAATCAATATTAAATACCATCAAACTGGTCTCTCTCTTTTCTTAATATAGTTAAAACTTTCGGTATAGTTTTCTCATAACTCAACATAAAATCGGTCTATACTATTGCTGCTTTAAGAGCTTCCGTTCTTGAAACGGGCTCTATAGTGCATTGAATTAATGGTACAATAATTAATATACAAGTAAAAAATTAAAAAAATATATATATATATATGTATATATATATATATATATTGATTGAAAATAATAATAAAATTAATTTCATAAATTAATAAGTTATTAATTAATTTATAAATTAATATTTATTAATTTATCGATAAGTTAATATTTCGCTAAATTAATAAAATTTTGATGGTCCCAATTGTATTAATTTATAGGGTAGCATTTGCCATTTAGATTGGAGAATTAGAGTAAATATTTTTTAGTTCAATGAGATAGTTTTTATTGGTTCATTTTACCAATGGATTTCAAATTATTAGCTCACTTTATAAATTGATTTTGAGTTTGATTTAAAATAATTTTTTATATGATAAAATTAAATAAATCTAAATTCAATAAATAATACATACTTCAAAAAATAATTAACTTTTATTACTTTACATTAAGATTTAAACAAAATAATCACAAATAGAAGCCCAAGAAATGAAAATGAAGCCCATCTTGTGTGATACCTAAGTCCAAATAACACTTGCTTCTCAGCTCAGCCACACTATATATAAACCACATCAAAAGAAACCCTAATTCCACCATTGTTGAACCACACACACATCGCCACTCTCTCCAAAATCCGGCGCCGACAATGAAGTACAACCCCAGGGTTTCATCCTCCCGGCGCAAGAGCCGAAAGGCTCACTTCACGGCGCCGTCGAGCGTCCGCCGCGTGCTCATGAGCGCGCCCCTCTCCGGCGACCTCCGCACGAAATACAACGCCCGATCCATGCCGGTGCGCAAGGACGACGAGGTTCAGGTGGTCCGCGGCACGTACAAGGGCCGCGAGGGAAAGGTTGTCCAGGTGTACCGCAAGAAATGGGTCATCCATATCGAGCGGATCACCCGGGAGAAGGTTAACGGATCCACCGTCAACGTCGGCATCCACCCCTCGAAAGTAGTCATCACCAAGCTCCGACTCGACAAGGACCGCAAATCGCTCCTCGACCGCAAGGCCAAGGGACGCGCCGCCGCTGACAAGGACAAGGGCACCAAGTTCACGGCTGAGGATATTATGCAAACAATCGATTGATAAGTCCGGCTATTACGGTTGTTTTATGGTTTTTTCATTTGGTTGTTATTATTCCGTTTTAATTCATGATTTTGTTAAGACTATGATGAGAGTTAGAACTATTTCATACTATTTTACTCTTTTTAATGCTACTTTGATTTTGTTTTCTTTCCCGATGCAATGCCGATATTCTATGCGTATCAAATATGCGTATCAAATGTCGAAGCTAATTGCCTAATTTTCTTATAACTGATAATTGCCCTATATTTCTCTCTGCAATTGCAATATTTAACTGGTTATTAGCTATGAGATGAAATTATCGCACTCTCGATAAGTGTTTTAATTGCATGGACGTACTTTGGTTCATTTCTTGTATTTGGAAAAATATATGGTTTGATCTTACAATTTAGCTCACGAGTTTTCGTGCTGATTATTAGTTGTGAAGTCAGGATAGATTGGGTGAAATTATAGTTCGACTATAGTTTATAATTTTAGCGTCTGCAGAAGTGTTTTGGTATTAAACTGGAAAGGCGATATCATGCGAGTAATGATGTTCTTGTTCTGTTTCCTATAGCTGCAGAAGTGAATAATGGAATGTCATAGTTGTGTTATGCTTTATTTGCTCCGTGTTCCGATGAAGTGAGATAGACTCATACAGGAGAGATGTTCGGAGAGATGCTCGACTACTTGGAGATTAACTTTCACATGGTTGTTTTATTGCTCTCCATATTTGTGGTCAGCATATTTTCCTTGCTCTGTTTAGTATGTTTCTATTTATCTGCAGTAGAATTTGTAGGCGTTGCTTGATGCATTTTTCATCTCTCTGGTTGGCGAGTTGCTTAATCCTTATTTTTGTATTGATTGCAAACATATTATGCTTGTGCTCAGTTGCATCTAACTTCTAGCTATAAACTTTAAATTTTATAGCCATAGTACTTGGTAGAAGGCTCTATTATCGAAAATGTTTACTTATTTTTTAATTCGTGACGTTAATGAGTACTTAATTTGTTCATACCTTTAAAATGAAACTTTTGAATTATTTTCTGACCACCCCGCTTCCCGCTTCTAGGAAGACCTCAAAAAGGACTAGTTTACAACAAAAAATTTGAAGCTTATATAACTAAATGAATCAAATGAGACTAAAAATAAGGCAGAAAACTTTATACCTCATGAAATAAGGCTCGCAATGGGTAGAATAATTTGTTCATTTTTGCAAACAGAACTAATCACGCATGCAAAGACAAACAAAGCTGTAAAACAGAGTTCTCGATTTACCACAGAACTCCAAAGAATATAGTTATCACAAAAAGGCGAGAAAAAATCAGGATATCCATCCCGGTATCAAAACTCAGACTATGTGTCATTAACTGAGCGCATCTGGAAAAAAAACAGTATATTTCTGCAACTACTTATTCGAAATATTTTCCTTCCAATCAAATCAACCTCAGGATAACAGAAAGCAGCAACATACTCTGCTTTTTTCAAGGCTTGAGAATGAGTGAAGCACCGAATTTGGGAGTCTTTTCCAAGGCCTTGGTGTCGAATTCGCTGGATATCGTCACAAACGACTTGCGAATGACCTCATGCTGCAGAACGGCACCCAGTGAACCGTGGTTATTGAGCTTCAGTTTCACTAGGGTCAGTGGGTCAATTGCGTAGGACCCACCCACTGTGATTGTGTTCTCATTGGTCGAGAATTTCCTGGCAATCTCCCCCACAGCAGCACTCTTCTTCAATTCATCCATGTAGTGAACGTACGATGCCGTTATGGTGTCTCCTTTGTTCCCCCTACAAAGCACAGGAACGAGGGAAATACTAACTTCTCATTCCTGTTATCTTATGAATTTTTAGGGTAATCGAACATTAGAACTTACAGAATTACTGAAATAGACGAATCTGGTTTCGTCACAGTGATGCCTGCTGTGTATTTAGTTAATTTTCCAGAAGTTGTCTCGTAACCTGCCTCGGCACCCAAAGCGAAAGTGGAGGTTCCAAGTGTGACGGTTAAATCAATCTGGAGGAGCTTGATTATGCCCAACAGCTGCCGTGAGGGATGCGTGAGGGTGGAAGTAT